TCAACAACCAGAATAGAGCTCCGCATTTATCCACTCAGCATGTAATTATGTTTTATTTTGCTGAAATGACTTGTTGTATTAAAACACACTAGTCTGCTAATAATTATATAAAATTATTGTTATAAATGTACATCACAGAGATTTAGATAAGCATGAAAAAGTGGGTGAGTCCCATACAGAATAAGTCAAACAGTTTCAGATGGGTTTACCTTTCACAATGCTCCAACATCATTCAGCAAATTGAATTTTTTGTGTAAAATACTAGCACATTTCATCTGCTCAGTAAATGCATTCTAACATTCCCAGATTTTACTGCTGCTCTTCCAGCCCTACAACCCAGCAATTTATTGACAAGAGTTTCCATTTAATCTCTTAATAGTCAGATCTCTCACATTTTCCCACTGGACAAGATGCCTCTCAAATGTGCAAAAAATGCCACAAACTTGGTACTGTTAATCACGTGAACAACTATATAAACAACAACAAAGGAGACAGAAAAACAAGCAGCCAGACTGCATTTTTATTTTTAGAATTTAAATGGTAATTTGATCCAATTACTAGTTCCAGTGTTGCATAAAATACAGTAGTGTCATGCTGCCCTCTGTCTGTAATATTGCAAAATAGCCCCCCAAAATGAATATTGTTGATAGCACTGTATCATAAACTGGTTTAGTCCTTGCTTCTATGTGTTAGTTTTGTAAATTGCATTATACTGTATGCCTTTTTGTCTTGTGGTGGTAAAACAAGTCTGTTATTATGTAAATGGATCCTGTTTCAATCTAAAGCCACCAGAAAATACACATTAGGAACTTTCTGTAACATTGTTCATGTATTATTGCTGTACAAAATATGAAACAGTACAAAAATGTGTTGGTTGTAACAGGCCTACGTTCCCAGAAGACATTTTGACATGCACAATAAGAAAAGCTCAGGTGTAAATAAGTTTCAGTTTCCATCTCCTTTTGTTCATGCTCACTCACTGTTACACTGCCACGGCTTACTGGGACACCTGAATAAAACTGGGCCATTGTTGACATTATTAGTAACACCTGCGCTTTTCCTACTACAAGTCCAAATATTTTCTATAATAAAGGCATATGAGGGGGTTTAACCCTTTAAAAATACACTAAATACATCTTATTGAAGAAAATTTCAATAAACTGGTTTAAATTAGGTTTCAGAATAAATGTGTAATTATTTGCTGCTTTGATCTTCAGTCCCTTCAACTCAGCATTAAGCAAAGTCTTAAGTCTATGTCAGCGGGTCTGTATTGGTTTTACATACTGTATGTGTGAATTAGGTCCACAAGAGTATCATATACAACACTAAACAACGGCTCAGTGTGTTTCAAGGTAATTAGGTCAGTGGTGGTTAGTGGTGTAAACATATACCAGTTTAAAAGTCATAATTCAGGAAGTGACACCTTCATGTTCAATATCTCATGCTTTGCTGACATCAGCCACCACTGCTGACTGAAAATGGCATGGTAATACACAGTGGTACTCTTATTCATTAGTCTGACAGCAGGAGATGACTTAGATACATCAGTAAAGTTTGAACAGATACTTTGGACATTCTTTCCTTATTGTCAAACAATGCTGATGAAGAATTTCCTGATAAAGAACAATCCAAACCAAAGTCAAATAAACATTTGTTGTGCATAGCTCACGGATTTTGATTGTTGCTGAATTGCCCATGATATTAACACTACTGTACCACTACCATATACATTTCCAACACTGCATCCAAAGGCTCACCCTGCTCTCTATCACAGACAAACAAATAGCTTAATATATACACTATTTATTTTATGGTGTATTTAAAAAAAATTAAGGTTTATTGACACTGTGCCTAAAACTTGTGAACTGCATGTGAAGATTTCTTCCTTTCTTTAATTGAAACATATTGGTAAATACTTCTACTGAGAGTAACTACTCTGTACTTGAGATGCTTATTTCAGTGCCTGTAATATAATACTTAATGTATGTATCAGCTGCCAGACTTGTATTCACTTGTTAATAGATTGCATATCTGCCATAGGTGTTCATCTGGGTTGAAATCTGATGGCTGTAAAGGTCATAGCATAAAATTCATATAATTTTTATACTTATCAAATACTGACCTTTTGTGCCCTTTTTGGAAGAATATGCATTTGTTATGTTTCTACACTCATTTATTCAAGTTTGACATTTAATTTATCACTCAAATATATACTGCTATTTTACTTATTTTAATTGTCTCCAAAGTATTATTATTTTTTAAATAATTATATATTGCAAACATTTTGTGTGTCTTGTGTTGCATTAGCCAGTAGAGGGGGCTCACGGTCCGAGAAAAGCGTAACTAAGGTTTGCCATTTAAAAGAATAGGGTTGTGTTTATTTTCTGTTAATTTTGTAGACACAGAGTACAATAAAGCATAAAGTAATACGCACTGTAATACCCACTGGCTCTATCGGGCTACACATTATGTAGAGTCGCTCGAAACCAACCCCTGAGGTCTTATCCGAAATTTAACCCCTGAGTGCTCAGTGTGTCTTTATGTTTGAACGCTACCTTTATGAAACATCCAGTGCAATGCCTGTATCAATGTTCATACTTGTGTTTATGTTATAGACAGAAAGCAGGGAAGGAAGCATAGAATAGCCTCTGAAAATCAATTTGTTCGTGTTCTACCTGAATGGATGCTTTCTGGACAAGTCCTAAACCACCGCACACCACAGTAAACCCATCTTTGTGTTTCCCCTGCTCTGGAGAAGGCTGATGTCTGCTTGAGTCACTACAGCTGCTGCTGCTGCTGCTGAAGATTTGCATGATTTGGAACACCAAAGGCTGGCAATCCTCCTACAACCCGGCTTCAATCCAGACTCCATCTTTTCAAACCCTCCCCAGCCATTATTTTATTTACTAAATGCCCATATCCCTCCGCAGGGTCAGAGAGTATTTTGAAGAATTTGCTAAATGGTTTTCGTGGTGTATTTTAACATTTGTTTTTATCACTGTTATTAAACATTTGACATACTCACGAAGCATCTACAACTCGGTGAACCACACCGACGTGGGGAGATTTCTCTGCCGTAGTTGTGGTGGGGGAGGCGGATCTAGTTTTTGAAGAGCCCAGAGGGGCTGTTCTTCGGTGCCACTTATCATTAGATATGGCCACCGTTATAGAGTATGCCGAAGCGTCATCTTCAACTTAATTTTGTAATATTTCGTTATAATTTCGCAGTTCGGCCACTGTGGCAGGCGGGGTGTTATTTTTGGCAAACTAATGTTTGTTTTTACATGCTTTTAGAGTCGGCTGTTACTGCGTGGCAGGCTGGTTGCGAGAGTCTCCTAACTGGCCGCTTGGTCCCGCAGCTTGTCGCAGCTGAAGAAAATAGAACCAGTTGCCAACCAAGAGGTCCGTCGGCTCCCAACATTTGCTTTGCGCGTTGCTGTACATTCGCCGTATATCTACATTTAAAGTTCCATGCATGGAGCGTTGATTGTTGCAGCCGCTTGGACTTAGGCTTTGCTTTGTTTATACGTTAATGATAAAAATTTTTGGCCGTAGACTTGGGTGGCTAACACCAACTAGCTATATTAACCCGAACTCGTGCGACGACAGCTGTCATTGGAGAAAGGAAGGTGATCCCCACCAAATGCATGTACCAGTGAAGCGGTTTTCTGTTGGATTTACCTCATCTGCCTTTCCATCAAATGGGCGAAGTTGGGAATAACATTGCAACGTTGGAATATAATGATATGCGTTATGCATTTCTGACAACTGCGGTGTTGCTTCATTGGAGAGAGGCTAGTGAGCTCAGTTAGCTTGCTTGCTAGCTAGCTGGGTGATAAAAGTGCGACGTTTCATCCTCCAGTATTTTGGACATGAAGAGGATAATTCGCTATTCATAGGGCTGGAAGGTAAGCCACAGTGAGAAGTTGATTTTTTTCCCCACGCAAGCTAGATACGTTTGGTATTCACCGTTTGAAGTAAAGCTGAGCCAACATTATCCACCTCCAGTCTGATGTTAGGGGTCTGTCGCCGCCTTGGCTTTCATGACTCAGACTATTCAACGGAACGGAACATGTAATCGCGCTATATAATTAAAATAGAGGGATAATATCATATGTTAATTATTTAACACAATATATGAGATCAAAATTCAATCACAACTAACGTTAGTCTGTAACGAAAAGCAGGAGTCAGAGGTTACGTCATTGTAAAGCGTATCAATTTTACTTTTTGTTTAGCATTGTACTTCCTCAGAACAGTTCCGTTTCATTGAATAGACCGAGCCTTTGTGTGTGTTGTGCACAAGTGTTCATCATTGCCTTATACCCATTTGGAAGTTGACTAATGATAGTGAACTTAGCGTTACACATCAAGTTTGCCATCATCCCCTAAATTGTGGAACAATGAAAGCTTTAAGTATTGTGTTTAGTGTTTTTGCGTAGGCGTTAGTTACAAGCTAGTACGATGAGTTGATCAACTAACTGCAGCCATAGGTAACCTGTTTGCTATGTGAGGCGCTTTCTAAGTTTACTGGCATATATATCTCAAAGCCTCAAAGAAATATACTGTTGCAAGTTAAAGATGAAAGATTGATTTTCTTTTTGCATTTTCTTCAATATTTACACAACACCACAGTAAACCCATCTTTGTGTTTCCCCTGCTCTGGAGAAGGCTGATGTCTGCTTGAGTCACTACAGCTGCTGCTGCTGCTGCTGAAGATTTGCATGATTTGGAACACCAAAGGCTGGCAATCCTCCTACAACCCGGCTTCAATCCAGACTCCATCTTTTCAAACCCTCCCCAGCCATTATTTTATTTACTAAATGCCCATATCCCTCCGCAGGGTCAGAGAGTATTTTGAAGAATTTGCTAAATGGTTTTCGTGGTGTATTTTAACATTTGTTTTTATCACTGTTATTAAACATTTGACATACTCACGAAGCATCTACAACTCGGTGAACCACACCGACGTGGGGAGATTTCTCTGCCGTAGTTGTGGTGGGGGAGGCGGATCTAGTTTTTGAAGAGCCCAGAGGGGCTGTTCTTCGGTGCCACTTATCATTAGATATGGCCACCGTTATAGAGTATGCCGAAGCGTCATCTTCAACTTAATTTTGTAATATTTCGTTATAATTTCGCAGTTCGGCCACTGTGGCAGGCGGGGTGTTATTTTTGGCAAACTAATGTTTGTTTTTACATGCTTTTAGAGTCGGCTGTTACTGCGTGGCAGGCTGGTTGCGAGAGTCTCCTAACTGGCCGCTTGGTCCCGCAGCTTGTCGCAGCTGAAGAAAATAGAACCAGTTGCCAACCAAGAGGTCCGTCGGCTCCCAACATTTGCTTTGCGCGTTGCTGTACATTCGCCGTATATCTACATTTAAAGTTCCATGCATGGAGCGTTGATTGTTGCAGCCGCTTGGACTTAGGCTTTGCTTTGTTTATACGTTAATGATAAAAATTTTTGGCCGTAGACTTGGGTGGCTAACACCAACTAGCTATATTAACCCGAACTCGTGCGACGACAGCTGTCATTGGAGAAAGGAAGGTGATCCCCACCAAATGCATGTACCAGTGAAGCGGTTTTCTGTTGGATTTACCTCATCTGCCTTTCCATCAAATGGGCGAAGTTGGGAATAACATTGCAACGTTGGAATATAATGATATGCGTTATGCATTTCTGACAACTGCGGTGTTGCTTCATTGGAGAGAGGCTAGTGAGCTCAGTTAGCTTGCTTGCTAGCTAGCTGGGTGATAAAAGTGCGACGTTTCATCCTCCAGTATTTTGGACATGAAGAGGATAATTCGCTATTCATAGGGCTGGAAGGTAAGCCACAGTGAGAAGTTGATTTTTTTCCCCACGCAAGCTAGATACGTTTGGTATTCACCGTTTGAAGTAAAGCTGAGCCAACATTATCCACCTCCAGTCTGATGTTAGGGGTCTGTCGCCGCCTTGGCTTTCATGACTCAGACTATTCAACGGAACGGAACATGTAATCGCGCTATATAATTAAAATAGAGGGATAATATCATATGTTAATTATTTAACACAACATATGAGATCAAAATCCAATCACAACTAACGTTAGTCTGTAACGAAAAGCAGGAGTCAGAGGTTACGTCATTGTAAAGCGTATCAATTTTACTTTTTGTTTAGCATTGTACTTCCTCAGAACAGTTCCGTTTCATTGAATAGACCGAGCCTTTGTGTGTGTTGTGCACAAGTGTTCATCATTGCCTTATACCCATTTGGAAGTTGACTAATGATAGTGAACTTAGCGTTACACATCAAGTTTGCCATCATCCCCTAAATTGTGGAACAATGAAAGCTTTAAGTATTGTGTTTAGTGTTTTTGCGTAGGCGTTAGTTACAAGCTAGTACGATGAGTTGATCAACTAACTGCAGCCATAGGTAACCTGTTTGCTATGTGAGGCGCTTTCTAAGTTTACTGGCATATATATCTCAAAGCCTCAAAGAAATATACTGTTGCAAGTTAAAGATGAAAGATTGATTTTCTTTTTGCATTTTCTTCAATATTTACACAATGTCAGCGTTACTTTTGTCTGGGGTCGCCAAAGAAAAGGCGACAGAGTTCAATACAACAGGCTAGCTGTCGTTAGCTGTACGCAGCTGCTTTGTGCCTAAGCTTGAGTTAACAAAAGCTAACGTTAGCATGTCTACAATTGTATCCATGGTGGTCGTGACTGCCTAGTCGTCACAAGATCCTAACCTCGGATGTCCTAACAATCCACATCATTCTCGCCACATTCAATTGAGGCTTTTCTGGTTGTAAATCTAGTTATAAAATGGTCCTTATCCAAGGAATTTTTATTACACCACTATGGACAGGGTTTGGGGAACTGTGAAAGCCCATGTTTTTCAGCTCAGGATTCAGGCTCTGATTCATTGTTTCTGGAGAAATGTACTGACAATATAACCATCGCAATGACTAATATTGCTTGTGGAGTTCGGTGTTATTGGACCACCATCTGTCCAAAGAGCCTGGGGCTGGTGGAGGGCAGTATAGACAAAAGAGAAAGAGAGCACTACAGTGAAAGATGTTCTCAATTTTACAGTATTTTAGAGCACAAATTGAGACCTCATCTCGTTCACAGGTACAAAATAGTTTCCATACGTTGTCCATAGAAGCCACAACACATGGCTAGCCATCCTTATAGTTAATTTCCATAAACTGTACAGTAAAATGTGCTAAAAACCGGGCCCACCATAGTTTATAGATCATTTCACTGCTTTACTGTAAATTCAAACTAGCAAAAATGACTTTCTCATGACTCATCCTGTAGTCTGGTGTAATTGCATTTTAGTACAGAGAAACAGGCTGGCAAAAGGCTTGTGTAGATTTTTGAATCTGCTTTCTGAAGAGGACATTTTTTACTAGTGTGTGAAAATGGTACATCAGCTGTTTTGGAAATGGTTTCCTTTTGAAAGGGATATTGTGGGACAAAAAGATTTGGTGAGGTTGATATAACCAGGTACTTGGATTATCCAAGATTACCCAATCTTGGTTTTTGTTGAGTTGATTTCCAGTCACATCTCGTAGACAGAGATATCTCTTCAACAAAGAAACTGAGAACTCAGATCAATGTGTTGAGTGGTTTTTTCAGTCTGTCCCTCTTACAGATGCGCCCATTATGAGAAAGTCAGAGTTAGCTAAACATCATGAATCAAATAGTTCCATAATTTTCCCCTCTCGTCCACATAGACTAAAACTTCACATTAAAGTTTATGGGAGTATCATGACTCAAGGCGACTCCTATGGCCAGCTATAATCTGTTAAATGTAATAACCTTTTTGTGCACATTGCAGTTAATTGATTTTCACAAGAAAATATTTTACACATCATGCAGCCTTAACCATTTAAAACAAATAACCACCGCGTGCACATAACATTTGCTGCAGATGTAACACATTTACCTAAGAAAAAAAAGTGCAATCAAATAAGAATTGCACTTCACCGGATAATCAGTTTTATTTTTGTATGAAAAAAGACATGTAGGCAAAGGTGTCTCAAAGCAGTTTTGCAACACATGAATAGATCACGTACAGACAACTAACAAATTTAAAGAAAATGCTTAATAAATGAATGGAGAAACAGTGAATGCAGATGTTTTCATATAAGGCATAAGGGTTCATTAAATGGTTTGAGCCCAAAAGTGATATGAATCCAGTGCTATGGCCTCTGCAATTACCAATTCTCAACCCAACTCAACACCATCATCAAACCACCAAGGATCATTTATTGGAAAAATCCATCCAGCACAGTTTTATATATGTGTCAAGGAGCATTGAACTTGTCATAGCAGGTTATGCTAACTTGGAAGGCTGGTTGGTTGTCATTTCTTTTAATTTGTCAACACATTTTTTAGAGTGGTGAACTTTTCACATTGGAGATGCATTGCATAAAAACTGTTAGAAATGAAATGGTAAACATGAGGTTTTGGTTTTATAGGTGACCTTTAGAGAAGGAAATCCATTATGGAAAATAAAGCAATTGTTTCTCCTCCATCAACCAGAGAATAAGTAGCTGATAATGCAACATTTTTTTTAAATAAGGGTGGCTTTTCTTTCAATCTCAAGAACTCACTCATTTGCTCATTAAACAACTGTATAATATGTCAGAAACAAATCATCAGAAGTGACTGTCATTTGCAAGATGTGACAATCACACTGACAAAACGGGGTGTGCCAAAAAATAAATACTTTTTCTGTTTGTCTTTTTTCAAAAAGGCCTCAAGGAAGAACAGCTTGCCCCCACTTTAAACATCTGATTGGACCAGAGTATGTGAAAGGTTTTTTGCCTTGTTTGTAAAATTGGTACATCTTCTCTCATGAGCCCATTTAATTGCAAACTGCATTGACATACAATGCAGATATGTAGGAATTGGACCATTGGAGTGTTTTTATGCATTTTAGATGCAAGCAGCCACTGTACATTTTCACGCCAGCTGCCATTCATATAGACTGATTTCAAAGCTTACAAGGAACTGCAGTCATTAGCCCACTCTTTTTTTTTTTTTTTGAGTTACTTTGTACATTAATTGCATAGTACAAAATAACATTACCATGCATTTTTTTCACTGTTGTTTAAATGTTTTTAACACCAAGGGGGTGTGTCTTTGCATATGTTTGCACTACGGCTCGGTAATAACAGAATTGTAAATCACAAGGTTGATCACAACCTTGTATCGAGCGATCCAGTGTTTGCCAATACATACAAGTATGCGACAATGCACTTTCAATTCAACAAAATTTTTATTAACTCACAAATGGAACCTGTGTATCATTTGAAACTTGTATTGTGCTCTGTTTGCTAAAAAGTTCTTGATGATGACCCTTAATTTCAACATAAACTTTGAGATTGGAACATTTACATGGCCACATACAAACAAACCGGGGAAAATCATATTTCCTGCATTGCAGTGATGCTTGTTAAAACTTCACATTAACAGGTACAGCTCAAGGCCAATTCACATAGAAGGCATTTTTAGATGTGTTTTTGACTCACCCATCTCATGCAACAGCTAGAATTCCAGTTTGTCAAATTTGTCAGTCCACACAGACTGTAAGACGTGCATTTTTTTCCCGTGCTTCGACTGTATTTTTTTTCCCCTCTGCCGCATTTAGTGAAGTGTAATTTTAACAGACAGCTGTTCACAAAATCACAAAAATCCCATTATTTTTGTTTTGCAAACTTTTTATTGGTATCTGTTTTGATTGATCAGGCTTCTGGTGTCACTGGGCTTTCTGGTTTCATTTTCCCTCAACCTCTGTAGTGAGACAGAAAAATCAATAAATTCAGTGAATCCCTGCATAAAAATGTTTCCCTGTTCTTCCTGATGAACCTTCCTGATAGTTTTTGTCCAGTACAGTTCTGCTGTTGGTCAATGTGGTTTGTCCGGCTGCTGTCCTTTAAGCTCATCAGGAGCTGCTGACAGACAGACAGATGCTCTGATGACAGAGACACTGAATGGAGGTCAGAGTCTGTGTGGACTTTACATATGTAATGCTTCACGCCTTGCTTGTTAGTGTGAATTCCCAGTCAGAGTACTAGGTTGCTGCATCACCTGGCATTGGTTACTCAATTTTAAGAGAGCATGTGCTTCAGTGTAAATGCATACTAGGTTTGGGCAGCATCCAATTTTTGATACTTTTTATTCCAAATTATACCCTGGTATGCTGTATTACTGTCTGCCTACCAACGATGTTAGGCACTTAAATGACTCTCTTAACACTCTTAGTATTTGGTAGCGTTACCTTTTAAATTGGTTAACTTGAGTCAAATGTTTTGGGATGCCTTCCACACGCTTCATACAATAGGTTGCTGGAATTTCAGCCCATTCCTCCTAACAGAACTGGTGTTTCCGTGTCATTTTTGTAGGCCTCCTTGCTTGCCCACAAATTTTCTATTGGATTGAGGTCAGGGCCACTCCTATACCTTGACTTTGTTGTCCTTAAGCCATTTTGCCACAACTTTGGATCTATGCTTGGGCTCACTGTCCATTTGGAAGACCCATTTGCGATTGATCTTTAACTTCCTGGCTGATGTCCTGTGATGTTGCGTCAATATATCCACATTATATTCCTTCCTCATGATGCCATCTATTCTGTGACATGCCCCAGTCCCTCCTGCAGCAAAGCACCCCCACAACATGATGCTGCCACCCCCATGCTTCACAAATCGGACTGCTTGCAAGTCTCCCCCTTTTTCCACCAGACATAACAATGGTCATTATGGCCAAACTGTTCAATTTTTGTTTCACCAGACCAGAGGTCTTTTCTCCAAAATGTAAGAATTTTGTCCCCATGTGCGGCTGCAAACCATAGTCTGCCTTTTTATGGCAGTCTTGGACCAGTGGCTTCTTCCTTACTGAGCAGCCTTTCATGTTATGTCAATATAGGACTCATTTTACTGTTGATATACATGCTTTGGTACTGGTCCTTTGGTGTTCTGGATTGATTTGTACGTTCATCTCTAGGAGACAGAAGGCATCCCCTCCCTGAGCAGCATCATGGCTGCATTGTCCCATGGTGTTTATACTTGTGTAGTGTTGTTTATACAGATGAATGTGGTACCTTCTGGCATTGGGAAGTTGCTCCCAAGGATGAACTGGACTTGTGGGGGTCCACTTTTTTTTTTTCTGAGGTCTTGGCTGATTTCTTTTGATTTTCTCATCATGTCAAACAAAGAGGTACTGATCTTGAAGGTAGACATTAAAATACATCCACAGGTGCACCTTCTGTTGACTCAGATGATGTCAGTTAGCCTCTCAGAAGCTTCTAAAGCTATGGCATAGTTTTCTGGAATTTTGTGTTTAAAGGCACAGTCAATTCAGCCTATGTAAACTTCTGACCCATTGGAACTGTGATATCATGAATTATAAGTGAAGTAATCCAGCCATAAACAACTGTTGGAAAAATTACTTGTCATGCATAAAGTACATCCTAACCAACTTGCCAAACAAGAGTTTAAAATGACATTTGTGGAGAGAGAAAAAAAAAATCTGTTTTAATGATTTCAGCCTAAGTGGAAGTAAACTTGTGACTTCAATTGTAGCTGTATGGGATAGTATTTATTTTTAATTAACTTATAGCTAGATGTATGTTTTGTATCATGATTGATAATGAGTGTGATCCTACCAAAATGGCACATCTACCCAACATTCAAAACGGCGTGACGACAACTTAATGTTCTCTATAAGCGCCTGTCATGTGACGCGCGAGTATGAGAGCATCTAATTAGTGAGTTTATTGTTATTTTTTGACGATTCTTTATTTGATAAATTAGGCTTTCATCATTTACAGGAGTCCTGTTATTATTTTTATAGCATCTTCAAACACAGGCAAAGCCGGTGCTGCTTGACATCGACTGTAGCAAGTTAATCTGAAATAGTTTACCTTTGTTTCCTCAGTGCACTCAAACCACCTACATTATATGCAACCAAAGGGTAGTATTCAGCATATTTACCTCTGATTAGTTTGTAGTGGGTTTTTCAGTGGGTGGGTTGCAGCAAATGGAAAACCTGGAGTGGCTCGGTACAGAGTGACTACAGAAATGCTGCCAATCCACTCCACTTTTATTGGGGAAAAGCTAAGTTAATGAACATATGTCTTCACAGAGTTGAACATATGTCTTCACAGAGTTGACCATTTGTCCACTCTGTGCTGAGGTTGTTTCTTTAAGGCATGCAGAGATCTTGGGGTGGAAAAAGGAAATAAACCCTGGGCACATAAACTGCATCCAAGATGCTTGAAGCCCATTGAGATTAATCAGAACTAGGAGTCTTTTACTCCTAAGAGGTGACACATGATCAAGTATGACTAAGAAAAGGATGCAGTTTGTGTGAGAATTTTTCAGAGGTAGCCAGTGAGGTAGACATATAAGCCTCTGAACACTGCATTATCAAGTCTTCACATAGATGCTCCTGACTCTGAGAAAGCACTACATCAAAAATGCCAAACAACTGGATATCTTAATAAACCATTAAGGGTTTGATTTTTTCCCCATGACATATCATTTCCTTGAAAGCCTGCCAACAATATTGATTCAAATGAAGTCAGAATCAGTGCTGGTTTTCCCTCTGTGTTGGAATAGTTGTTAGTGTTCCAAGCTTGGGTTACCTGCCTTGTAACACTTGTCACAATCTTCTCTTTTTCTTGCCCTTTTTTTTTTCTTCCTCCAGAATGTCATCAGAGGATAAGACTGTGGATCCCTCTGACCAGGGGCCCTCAACGCCATCCAGCAGTGTAGGGGCTACGTCCACAGGAAGTCCTGCCCACGCAGACAAGCGACCACGTGGCAGGCCGCGTAAGGATGCTGCTGCCATCCTACCCCAGGCACCACCTTTATCCACATCTAAGAACAGAAAAAAGTAGGTTTTTATCACTGACATTCAAAGAAATATTTCAGCATTTTTGTGGCATAGGGGTTTTCCTCATTTTTTAAAAATTAGGTATAACCTAATAGTGCTGATATTATCACACACATTTAAAACAATATTATTACTAAAAAGGAAAAGCCTGTACTGAGGATATCTATATATATATATAGATATATCTAGGCGCAGTATTCAGTATTTCAGGATAATATTATTTACACTGCGTTCTGCAATTCTGTAGCGTATCTGATGCTAGGCTGTAGTCCATGCAGGCGGGCCATCTCCTCCTCCTCTTGCATTCCCAGAGTGGACAATGTGATAGTGATACAACGCTGATTAAATATATAGAACAAATTTTGATACGATATTTGAGTTGGCTTTTACTGCAAGCACAAATAGCACTGCTGGATTGAATCTTCATGATAGGGTGGATCTAACATATGATGTGGAGTGAAATTAAATGTGTGTAAGGCATCAATACTTAGTTGTTCCTTTCACTTTTTACTTTTTGACTTCAGTTCACCACCTCACCATCTGTGTTGCCAATTTCCTTTGTCTCCAGAATGCACATACACAAGTTTGTTTTTTATAGATCACAACCTGTGTGTGGGAAGTGATGTACGCCACTTTCAAGCAATGTTTACATCACGTTTATAAATGAGACCCCTGGTGAGACACACTTTAATTGCTTTAGGTTTATAAACTAGTCAAGAAGGAGCCATCTGCAGAAGTGTGCCTTTCTTCTTGTTATTTATGTTGATTTTAACATCAGTGCTGGCAAGGTCAGATGTGTAGTTGCGTATGTAAAAATAGGTTTATGATAAGGCAGCAGATTATGACAAAGCTTCATTGCAGTTAGTGAACTCATTATTGGTGCCACAGTTGCTTATCCCATCTCATATTTCATTGAATTAGAGCCACTGCACCTCCAGAAATCTAAACATTGAGTTCATATTCCATAGGGTCTTCACTACCTGTTTGGCAGTTTAGGAACCAAACTGTGCCAGCTGTAACAGGACTAAGCGAAACACTATGCTTAGTCGCATATAACTATGAGTGTAACAACTTCACAGAGCTGTGAATTATCCTCATAGAACAGTCTTGTGTTCAGATCAACTGGATGCTGCCTTTAATGAATATAAGAAGTGTGTAGAAATATTAAAATGCCTTAAGTGTTAAAACGCAGTTTGCTTATGACAAGGGAGGATGTGTCAGAAACTGCTTTTGTAGACCTTGTTGGAATTTACTAGATTTGCCCACACTCCATCTGCTAGCCAGCCCATTTCAGAGCAGCTCTGATCTGTGTCTGGTTTTCCAGGCAGCCCCCTGTTAGCTGGGACTACTTTCCACAGCATTATTTTCACTCCCCCCCTCTTTCTCTCTCCCAATGTCCCTGTGGTGGGACTGTGGGGGGGGGATAAGTTGTGCAGGGAGTGGGTACAAATTTTAGTCTTGAGCGACTGTCAGCGAAATAACTGGCTGTCTCAATGCTGAAATTGAATGCTTTTAATGTAGGTCTATATAATTACAGTTGATTGTTGTGTAGTAGTGTATACAAAGATGCCACCACCGCTGACTACTTTGTGTGTGTGTGTGTGTGTGTGTGTGTGTGTGTGTGTGTGTGTATACTACATTTCCATGACTATATTACATTTCTTTTCTATATACTGCATTTCTGCATTTCGGACAGCCTTCTGGAATCAGGTTGTGGGGAAAAAAAGATGTAGGGAGCATGCAAAAGAAAGCCTGTGATCCTAATCCTACGCAAAATGTATGGTCAAAATATTTAAATTGTTTGTTTCTTTGCTGCTTTTAGCTGGGTCCTATCTGTAGCTTTACATGGCTCTGGCCACTAGTGTCATGCCAATCAAGGGAAGTAGCCTATAGTTTCAGAAATATAATTACAATTTTGTCTTATTTTTTTACTGCCATCTCTTCAAGCTTCATGTCTATTAAGCAGCAGTACACTGAACATAGACATTCAAAAATTTAATTAGAAATGTATTCAGCTGAAGTAGGAAAATGCTGGCCCATGTTTAGCATCCAACATGGGCATCAAAGATGTATTATAGCAGTAAGTGCATTTTGATTCTTATTAGTGCAGATATTCAGAACCACTAAGCTGTTGTAGTTTTTCTTGGTTGGTGATTTTGATCATACAGTTTCTGGAAAAAATCTTGTTCATCACAAGAGTTGAATAAATTCACATTCTGTCATGTACAGGTCTCGGTGTGATCCAGAAACCACATCAGAACAGCCTTTCATTTGCTCATCAGTTTTTGAGTGCACCTTTACAGTAACGTGAAAAGAGCTCTTTCTTAAAATTTGGTCATTCGTTCCCATTTTATTGAGCAGTGTATATTTGACTTAAGCTTACAGGTTATCACATTTTAGCCAAGGTTTGCTGAAGTCCTCTTCTGTCATTCTCAGGTTTAGGGTTGTTCTTTATCTTGACATGGAAGTCATTTAGTGGGAGGGGTTGATTTGGCATCCAGTCAACTGTGATTTTTCTCTCCAGTGGCATCGAAAATTACCCCCCTCTCCTCTGTCTCCTCCCTCACTTCCAACTCCCTGTATCTTCTCGAGTACCCCTGAGACACACTGCTATCCCCACTTAGCATGCTAAAAATTGATGTTGCTGTTTAATTTCTATCTATGACAGTTACCCCCTCCACATGGCACTTCCAAGATTAGGTTAACAGTGCTCCCATTGGAGAATGCTGACACTGACAGATCTGTCCATACTGTATGTAAAAAAGGGGTGTGTGCTGTGTGCATCTGTATGAGTGTGCTGGAAACATAGACATGGTTGTCTGACGTGCTGATAGGGCACATTTGGTGAAATATGACAAGGGCTGTACTTTATTTATAATGTCTTTTTTGTTTGTTTGTTTTTTGTTGGCCTTAAGATTGTCGTGACAGAGGGAAGTGGAAAAAACACTGACGATTACATTTAATATGGTACTCTGGAGAGAAAATCTTGAAAGCGAACAGTAATGAGATATTTTTGGGTCACAACAGGAAGTAGACTGATATGAACGGATAGCCTGCTCTCCCCCCCCCCCTCCTTTGGACCTCAGTCTGTGTCCTTTATTTTTGAGGATTTGATCAGTTTAGATTCAATAAATAAGCCTAGACATTTTCCTTGTGCAAAATAAAGTTGCACAGTGGAGGATAACCACTCACTGGCCACTTTTTTAGCAGCACCTGTACAATTGTATGCAATTCAGTGCAACACTTCTGTGTTTATGAATCTCAATTGTGTTAATTGTTGATGTCATAGTTAAAGGTAATGTTGTACTGGACTATATTATATTTAGAGGTGTTAGTATATTTTTGTCCTCCCCAGTTACATACATGATCATACAATGTCAGAATATTGGGAACACCTCTGAACATAATGTACAGTAAATACCTGTAATTATTGATGGTAGACTTAATATTATTCTTCGGTTTTACACAAAATTCTCAAATGAAAATATGTTAATCTAAATGGAATCAGCTACACCAAGAATAAAATAGAAAAACTGATATTATTGGTTTGAAAGTTATTCAAGAAAAAAAAAACGATATTTCAGTAATGGTGGTTTTCTCTAGGATCTAGCTGAGTAAGTTAGACATGTCAAGTCTGTTGACACCCTACTGAATCTGCAGAGTTTCAGAATTTGATCTTGGTTGCAAGTCTGTAGCACTCTGCTTGGAAGAATGGGATAAACTGCCTAAATTGTGATGTGCAGTGTTTGTAGCGAATTACCCAAGAAGGGTCAGAACTGTAATTACTGCTTAACTGCCTTCAGCAAGTATTGAATTTCAGGGTCTGAATACTTTTTTTTATAAATGAGAGATTTCAGGTTTTGATTTTTAATGTACAACCCCAAATCAGAACAAGTAGGGACGGTATATAAAATGAAAATTGAAACTGAAAATAGTGATTTGTAAATCATCTATGCCCTGTATTACACTGAAAACAATACAGCAGTACATTATTTGATGTGATACCTTATCAATTTGTTCTTTGTTCAAAGTTAACACTCACTCCAATTCTAATGCCTGCAACACATTCCAAAAAAGTTGGGACAGCGGCATTTCAGGGTTAGTAATGAGATAAAACAATTAAATTATGATTTGATTTGAAACAGGTAATTGCAATCATGATTTGACAAGTGGCATCAAGGAAAGGCCTAGCCCTTTAGGAGCAAAGGACGCCGTGTTCTCCACACCAAAGACGAAATGGACCATCCAGACTGTTACTAGCAACAAGTTTAAAAGTCAGGGTCTCTCATCTGTCAGTACCCTTGGCAAAGGTAACTTACACTTCTGTGATGGCAGCATTAAGTCTATAAAACGCATAGAGATTTTGGAGCAAGATATGCTGCCTTCAAGATGACATCTTTCAACAGGACAATGCAAAACCTCATATTGCACACATTACCAAGGCCTGGCTGTGGAGGAAAAGGGTGCAAGTGCTAGACCGGTCTGCCTGCAGTCCTGACCTGCCCCCAATAGAGAATGTGTGGTGCATTTTGAAACGTAAATTGCATCGACGAAGACCCAGGACTGTTGTGCACATTAAGACTTGTTTGCAGGAGGAATGGAACACAGTTACACCTGATCCACTTAATCACTTGGCGTCATCAGTCCCTAAATGTCTTTTAAGTGTTGTGAAAAGGAACAGCAACATCACACCGCGCTAAACGCTTTACTGTCACAACTTTTTTGGAATGTGTTGCAGACATCAGAGTTGGAGTGTTTATTTTGAACAAAATTGATGATGTATCGCATCAAATAATGTGCTGCTCTATTGTTTTCAATGTAATACAGGGCATCAATGATTTACAAATCACTATTTTCAGTTTCGGTTTTTCTTTCTGATTTGGGGTTGTACTTGCAAAAAATTTTCAAAGCATTTTTACTTTATTATTATGGGTTATTGAGTTAGATTGGTAGGCAGTTTTATCCATTTTAAATGAAATCTTCAACACAATATGTGCAAAAGGTGAAGTGGTCTAAATACTTCTGAAACCATTATACATCACAGCCCCTAATGACTTCAGGATTTGAGGGTATTAATAAGGCTCATGCACATTCATGATTAAGTATTTTTTTGTGGTGTCTTAAATTACAGAGCTATTATGACATAATGAGTGGTATGTGTATCTGAAATTCAACTAGAGCATCTAATTTAGACTATTGAATTGTCATCTCTCAAGGTAAATCATAAAGGGATTTGTGCTATTTTGCACTGATGATGAATTTTGGTTCGGCTTGTCTCCATCTTTTAACTTCACATGCTACCAGTGTGTATTGTTACCCCCCCCCCCCCACACACCCAGCCCCCCCTCCCTTCCACCTTGCCCAGCGGCTTGAGTGCCTCCATTAAAAATCAGTGACAGCTGTGACTATATTTAACTAATTCATGACCACATCTCCACCCCCAAACCCCTCTCCTAAGGCAGACACAGGCACTTTCCCTGCCTCATTCTTTTTTGCTGCCTCTGTTTATTTGTTTGTCTTTTCCTCGCCCTAGGGGTCGCACCAGAGGGAGGGTTGTTGTGGATGAGGAGGACAGCATGGATGGGACTGAGATAACAGAGTCCATAGGCCCTCAGGACACAGGTGAGACTTTGCCCCCCCCTTTTTTTTTTTTTTTTTTTGATCCATTTTGTACACACTGTTCCTGTGGACTGACGTAAGATTTGAAGTTGCACATCCAGACAGCCTCATGCAGGGAGTGCTTGAAAGGATATTTCAGTAAAGGTTGGAGTCTCCCCCTTCTGAAGAAGGATGGATGAGAGCTTTTTCTTGGCACCCCATGCTTCTACTTCAGGGCTGTAATTGAAAGGTTTAGCTTGAGCTGTGAAGCTGCAGTGGGTGTGTATTTTTTTTTTCTCCCCTTACTGCTTCCAAATCTCCACCTGCTCTGAGATTGGCATTGAGGTGCAGTGGGAAGGAGCCCAAGGCTAATGCCCTCTAAAAGCTTTTTAAAATCCCATCAGCCTCTCTAGACCCATTTATGTGCTTTGTTATGTGTGTACATCACATGATCATGCCTCCCATTCTCATACAGCTCAGTGCCACCCTGTTGCCATCCTGAAGATAATGGTGAATGAAATTGCCATTGGCTAGTTTTTCTTTTAGGCTTTAGTTTTTCTAGTTGTAGTTTACCTCATACAAATATCAGGTGATTTTATGAGTTTTAAAACATTAAAACAATAGAATATCTTTTTATTTACATTTCTGTAATTCAGGAAGTGAGCATGGGCTTGGGTTTTGCATTTTCAGTGTGCTTCCCTTTGTCCATTTGAACCCCAGTGGTTCCCTCAGAGGCTTTCTGTAACTTCAGCTTTTAGCAAAATAAGGTCTGTGATTCCACACGATCTCTTCCCTAAAATGATGCATGTTTATGCACAGCTGAGGTTAATCAGAGTATATCTCCATTAAAAACGGGTCAATACATGGGTTTAAAACCCTGTTAATCTTGGGTTTATAACCCTTGATTTGTGTCACTTGTACAATGTAGCTTTGAAAGCTTTATGTAAACCACTTTATAAAACATTTTGAATATACTTGTAATTATTGCTCACCACATATTTAAACATACTTTTGCCTTGGAAATTGCAGCACAATGACATTAAATGGTTACCAGACCAACAAGAGGTTGTTAAATATGTAGTTATTATATAGTTATAACAGAATAACTTGATGATAATTCCGTACACCTCGCTCACATCCCAGGAATGTAAGAAGTCTTTCACAGGTATTTCTGGTTATTTGGAAGTAATGAGCTTCAATTTGTCTTTATTTAATTCCAATGGATGACACAATCATTGTGGCATTAGTATAATTACATCTCGGCAAAATGTTAATACAAATTTTGCATTTCCCAAAGCCTCAGTGAGAGGTACTTTTGGGAGTTGTTTTGTATGATTGGTACAATGAATTCAGGCTTCTGTTTTGCAATTTAGATCAAAAGCACTCATAATAGTAACAGAATTGAGTTCAGTTGTATTTTGGACAGAATATTCTCCATTAATTTTAAACCCCATTTCTTGGGACACTTTGGCAGCCATGATTTTAGTAATTTCAATGTCTCTATTGTTATTGCTGTTATGTACAAGGGCTTGGTGTTCCTGGCAGTTTTACAGTACTCAGTGCTTGAACATATGGCCCATATATTTTACCATCCATCTCATTGATAAAGGCTCGGTTTTTGACTTGGAGGAAATGGACTAGAATGCAGTCAGTGTACCCTTTGACAGCTTGCATCTGCCCGAATCTGCATGCTGAATTTACGGTCCTAATTGGCAATGGATTAAAGGGCAGTTAATGGCTGAGGCCAGTTCTGAATGGGCTGCAAAGCTCATGAATACACCAGAGTGATATAATTCTTACTGATTCAGTGATCATTTTATTTTATTGTTTGTTTTGTTATCACCAGAAACACAAATCCAGCCAGTGGAGACTGTGGAAGTGGTCACCACTGAGGTTCCAGAGGAGGACAAACCCTCTTCCCCTCTGGCCCAGAGCCCTCTAGCAGAGAATTCAGCAG